GCCTCAGCGCCTAGGGCGTGCCGATCGAAAGGTCGGCGTTTCGAATCCCCGCCGCGGGGTGCGCTTCCGTTGCTCGGTCCCAGCGCCTGCCAACCTAGCAGTTCGAAAGCACCCCCGGGTGCAAGTAGATAAATAGGGACCGCTTACTGGCGGGAAGGTAAACGGCGTTTCCGTGTGCTGCGCGGGCTCGCCAGATGCAGCTTTGTCATGCTGGCCACGTGACCCGGAAGTGTCTGCGGACAGCGCTGGCCCCCGGCCTCTAGAGTGAGATGGGCGCACAACCCTAGAGTCTGTCAAGACTGGCCCGTACGTGCAGGGGTACCTTTACCTTTTTTTAGCATTAGGATGGCTTTTTTGTCCAATCTTCCAGATATTCAAGAATGTCTATTACGTTCCATATATTATTATACATATGTCTGCCTGGTAAGAAACCCATGTGATCTTTGTGAATAATTTCATTCAGTACTTTCTTTAATCTATTGGCAAGAATACGGATAAATATTATATAATCATTATTTAATAATGATATGGGTCTATAGTTTTTAACTGATGTTCGATCAGTACAGTGGTGCCTCTCAAGACGAAATTAATCCGTTCCGCGAGTCTCTTCGTCTTGCGGTTTTTTCGTCTTGCGAAGCACGGCTATTAGCGGCTTAGCGGCTATTAGCGGCTTAGTGGCTATTAACGGCTTAGCAGCTTTAAGAAAAGGAAACAAACTCGCAAGAACTCGCAAGACGTTTCGTTTTGCGATGCAAGCCCATAGGGAAATTCGTCTTGCGGAACGACTCAAAAAACGGAAAACCCTTTCGTCTTGCGAGGCATTCGTCTTGCGAGGCATTCGTCTTGCCGGGCACCACTGTACCTTGTTTTGGTATTAGCATGATGAATGCTTCTTCCCATGTTTTTGGTATTTTCCCTTCTATTAAAATTCTATTGAGTACTGTTTTCAATGGTTCTGCTAATACATCTTCTAATTTCTTGTAATATACAACTGAGAAGCCATCCTGGCCAGGGGATTTCCCTGTTTTTGCCTTAGATATTGATTGTTGTATCTCCATCATCGTTATTGTTGAATTTAATTGTTCAATTTTCTCACCATGTGTCGTTGGTAGTCTATTCTGAGTTATATATTTTTTCCATTTCTTCTTGATCTTCAGCAAGATACAATTCCTTAATAATTTATAATTTTTTATCTGATTTCTTTAGGTTCATCTATTATTTCCCCTTCTACTATTTTCCCTATCAATTTCTCCTTTAATAATAAGAAGGCAACCTGCCTTATATTTAATAATAATAATAATAACAATAAGGCAACCTTATCAATTTTTTTTTGTCTTGCCCTCTTTATCTTTTGCTCAATTTCCTCGTTCAAAATCATGGAGATTTGCGTTTGCAGTATCTTAATATTATTTATTGGCCCTTCCTCCATCGGATTTTTAGCCAATTCCTTCTCATTATCTCTTATTTCTTTTAAAAGCTTCTCTATTTTTTTTCTTTTTCTTTCCTTTGAATTATATTTTGTTGAATGAAGAAGCCTCGCATAACTGCCTTGTTTGCATCCCAGACGGTGTTGATATCTGTTCCCTTATTTAAATTAAATTCAAAATATTCTCTTAAAATTCCTTTTGCTTTTTCTAATAATTTTTCATCATTAAGAATGAATTCATTAATTCTTAATCTTCTTACTGTATTCCTTCCTTCATTTCTAAAGGAATTGGATTATGATCAGATATTGTCTTTGAATAAATTTCAGCCTTCTTACATTTTAATAATATTTCTTTTGATACCCATATAGCATCTATTCTTCCCACTGTTTTTTTTTGCTTCTGAATGATATGTGAATTTTCATTTCGATGTTTAGCCCTCCAAATGTCTCATAAGTCTAGGTTTTCTACTAGCTGCAGGAAATTTATTGGCAACCTGTCTCTCATGTTGTCATATCCATCTCCAATGAAGTAACTCCATAAAGGTCTCCCATTAATATAATCTTTTGATCACTAAATTCCAATAAGTTATCTTCCAACTTCTTATAAAATTCCACTTTTTTATCATTTGGTGCATATATTCCCACTATAATTATTTTTTCTTTGGTTTGTGACTTTTATCGCCATCATCCTCCCTTCTTCTCTGAAAACCTGCTCTGAATTATTCTTTTTTTACCACATCCAAGGAAATAAACCCATCCCCCATTTTTTTAATTAACTAACACCTTCTTCCCTGGAGAAGACACTGATGCTGGGAAAGATGGAGGGCACAAGGAGAAGGGGGCGACAGAGGACGAGATGGTTGGATAGTGTTTTCGAGGTTAGCAGCATGAGTTTGACCAAACTGCGGGAAGTAGTGGAGGACAGAGGTGCCTGGCGTGCTCTGGTCCATGGGGTCATGAAGAGTCGGACACGACTAAACAACAACAACAACAACAACACCTTCTATGTTTTCTTGTAACATGTGTTTTCTGTAAGCAAATTATATCCCATCTATTTTTTTAAAGTAACTTGTCAGGGAACTGCCATCGGCTCAGGGGCGAGAGGGTAAAAGCTGGATGGATTACAGAGAGCCCCCAAAGATCGTGGGAAGCAGCAACTCCTTAGCGGAGGAGAGTAACCAGTGGAGAGGAGCTTCAGGGCTCGGGGAGGCGAGGCGGTGCCAGGACACCTTGCCTGAGCAAAGCAGGGAGGAGAGAGGTCCTCCATTGCCCATGCCCTCCCTGCGCAGTAGGCTTCCGCGCCGAGAGGGGAGGTGCAGATTGGGCGTCAAGAAACTACTCTGCTGGGGAAGGTTTAGATTCTGCCAGTGAATGAGCGAGCCACAGAATAGTGGCGCTCTGCATGGTGAAGGTTTTTTGGCACCAATAACGAGGCTTTACAGCCGACCAGGGAGGCATTTGCCTGATTGCTCTTGAAAAGAAACTGTTCCACCTTGTTTCTTTTAGTCTTATTGTTTAAGCCGTTAACATTCCATGAAATGATTTTGAGGTCCATTGAATTATGAATTGTCAACACCTTTATTTTTGGATCTTATATTGATCAGTTTAAGTGTTTTTGGGCAGGCAAAATTATTAAGGGACTAGTGAAATTCTCCTATGAAGAAATGTTACAATAGTGGAGGGGTCTTGTTTGAGGGGCAGGAAGTGAATAAAATTTATAAAATTACCATGCTGTGGAGAAGCTTTTATATAAACAGTTTAGGGCTGAGCTTTGGCAGTGAAATATTTTCCAAAGATCCTTTCAGTTGTGGGAAAATTCTGATGAGCAGCAGCATCTAGCAGTCCTTGGCATGGAGAAAGTGGTGGGTGGAGTTTGAGACCCCCATTTGCAGCCTGAGGGGTTTGACACACAGTCGGAGACATGTTTTACCCACTCCTACAGGGGAGTGAAGGAGGGAGCCCCTCTGAATTAGAGAAATTCCTGCAAGGTGCTCCTAGCTCCGTAATGAATGGCAGGAATAGTTCCAAAGGTTGTGGGGCAATCTTCTGGAGAACAAGATTGCTACCAGATTAAAATCTGGTAGCAAACCTGCTCTCTCCTGGCCCAGGAGTTTGTTATGAGTTTGTAAGTGCAAGACACTCTAAAATCCAGATCAAGCTAGTCTTAGAATTGAATTAAATTGAATTAAAATTGAATTAAAATTGAGTTAAAACTGTGTGTCGGACTTCCACATATCAGAATCTAATTCATTATTAAGCTGTGTCAGACACCTCTTAAAACCAAGGGAATTGTTAATAGTGCTAGAAGTTAATTAAGTCAAGCTCGTTTTCTTTTGAGAGGATAGCATAGTCCTGCATTAATACAAAGGATCAAGGGATCCTTCCTTCAATGGAGAGTTAGTTTAAAAGACAATGCCAGTGTTTTAGGTTAGAGTTCAGGTAGGTGTTATGCAACGGAGATAGGAAGCAGCAAACTGGAGAGAGTCAGGAGCCAAGTTTGAGAGCCATGTTTGAGGTCTGCTTAAAGTTCAAAGGTGCTGGAGCTATGGGCGAAGGCAGAACCTCCTGGGGGATGAATGCTGGGAGCCCCTCCATTGTAGACAGGTGGTAAGGTAAAGGGACCCCTGACCATTAGGTCCAGTCATGGCCGACTCTGGGGTTGCAGCGCTCATCTCACTTTCTTGGCCAAGGGAGCCGGCATACAGCTTCTGGGTCATGTGGCCAGCATGTCTAAGCCGCTTCTGGCGAACCAGAGCAGCGCATGGAAACGCCATTTACCTTCCCACCAGAGAGGTACCTATTTATCTACTTGCACTTTGACGTGCTTTTGAACTGCTAGGTTGGCAGGAGCAGGGACCGAACAACGGGAGTTCACCCCATCCCAGGGATTCAAACCGCCGACTTTGCAATCAGCAAGCCCTAGGCTCTGTGGTTTAACCCACAGTGCCACCTGTGCCCCTTGACTCAGGTGGTATATCTGTGTAAATAGACCATAGATCATAAAGACACCAGTCTCCACTGTGCCTCATTTCCAAAAGTACCTGGAACCCCTGGAATCTCACCCTGCTGTGTGGATTGGAGTGGCATGTAACAATATGTTGTTCAAGAGTGAAAGGCTGTTGAAGGTCCAAAGATGTTTTGGAGGGGGGTCATCATGGCATAGTGAGCTAAGAGACTGCTGAGTATTGTCAGATAACACCTTCCATTTCTGTCTTCTGTCTATTTATGCCAAAGCTCTGGAGAGGATATGGATGTCATGTTGGGGTGGCAAGTTCAACTCAGTTTAAAATCATCCAAGGTCGTCTGCTGAGCAAGTGAGAGAGATATTGTTCCCTAACTGGAAAGAAGGAGGTTAAAGGGGACAAGAAGCCCAGAAACTCTGTGAATGAGCAGCAGAGCAAAAAGAATTGGGGAAGACTCACTAGGAGAGAGAGGGTGGCCAAGGCAGAGCTGTCTCTCATACCACATACTTCTGTGATGCTGCTGGAGAATCTTTTTGCTTGTTTGTTATATAATTGAATATAGACTGAATGAAGTTGTGCTTCATACATCCATGTTATTTTCTGTCTTCTAGGTCGAGAACAATTTCATGGACTTGGATCTATGTACTGCAGAGGAGCAGCAGCTGTTATCCTCACTTACGATGTAACCAACTTGCAGAGCATCTTGGAACTTGAGGATCGGTTCCTGGCCTTGACAGACACTGCCAGTGCAGACTGCATCTTTGCTATTGTTGGGAACAAAGTGGATCTCACAGATGCTTTTGCCTTTTTGCCAGAAACAGAAGGTGAACGTCAGCCCCCCGAGCAGCCCATCAACAGTCTCATTTCTACCAAGTTGAAAAAACAAGTCCATATGAGTGATGCCATAGCACTTTATAAGAAGATCCTAAAATACAAAATGTTGGATGAGAAGAATGCTCCAGCAGCAGAAAAAATGTGTTTTGAAACTAGTGCAAAAACAGGGTATAAAGTGGACCACGTATTTGAAACTGTATTTGAGATGGTAGTACCAGTAATTTTGCAGCAGAAAACTGAAGGGTCACTGCAAACTGTAGATTTAAATAATATCAAGACAACTAAAAACATACAATCCAGCTGTTGCAAATAAACAACAAATGAAGGATATATAAAAAATATAAAGGTGAACCAGATCAACTACTTTTTTGGCATAATAGATCTATGAAACTGAACTTGATTAATAGAATGGCAAACACTTAATTGGGGAAGGTTTGAAACAATGGCATAAAATTTGACTTTAAAGCAATTATTTAAAACTTCTATATTCAGCTGAGTGTGATTTATCCACATTAAATATGTTATATTCATCTGTCTACTGTTTTTCACATTCATCTGTCCTGTCCATTTTAGTAGTGCCAATATTTTTGCATACAAAAATTGCTAAATTGTACTAACTAGAAACAAGTTAGTACAAGTGCTAAACAAGTACTAACTAGAAAAGACTGATGTGCATATATAGAGTGCAGGAACAGAAAAAAATAGTTTCTTAGAACCATAAATTGTAGTGTTGGGTGCTTTGGATATGTAGCCATCCTGATTCAAACTGGTTAACCCCACACACTTCATTCTCATAGCTGTAAGGATGGAGCCACAATTGGAAGGGAAAAGTCCCGCACACTTCTGTCAGCATAATGTACAAGAGCGATGAGAATTTAGAAAGCTAGCTGTAATCTTAGTCTGGAAGGTTAACAAAACCTTTATCACCATGTGTCACATTTCAAACCCAAGAACCCCCCCCCCCCAAGTTTGTTTAGGATCTTTATCAGGTCATGAGAATTTCTACCCGCCTATAAGATAAGTTTTGTATTTTTTAGAGTTACTGGGGATGGCATTCCGATGGAACTGCTCAGATATGCTGTGGTTTCCTATATAAAACACTATGTGAATTCAAGCAAGACTAGCTAGGAGCACCTGCAGCTTTTGATATTGACCATGGTCTTGTCTTGGATTGGCACCATGGAATGGACATCGATCTTACTACCTACCTACGTTTGTTTGAGGCAGAAGTAAAACAGAGACTGAAAGGGAGCCAGCCTATTTCCTTTGAAGTCTACTTCTGCCTTTGTCCACCAGGTGGAGCAAGATGACATAACCCTCTGCTGGCAAAGTCACAGGTCACTCCACAAAACCTTGCTCTTGGCTGCAACTCACGGCCAGTGAGAGAAGGGAGCGCTGAAGTAGGAGCCTTGAAGGAGCAAAGTGGCTGCAAGCGTCACCTTCACACTGCCTTGCTAAACCAAGGTTTGGTTCAGCATACAGTGTGAACCAGCCCTAAGTACCATATAACAGAAGAAGTTGCTACGTGCCAGAGGGCAAATTGGCCTCCATTCTCTCCCCTGGCTGGTAGTGAGAAAGCTAAAAGCCAGTGTGTGAGAGAGCTGAGAGCTAGAAGCAGGCAGAGGCTGGAGAGCGAGCGAGCCATGGCTGCGACTATGAGAGAAACAAGATCTTTTGGAGTCTTAAGGCTGTGAGCCCCTCCAGCTTAAGCTCAGGTTGAATATATGTGTAGATAAACCATGTATCATAAAAAAATTGTCCAGTAGCACCTTAGAGACCAACTAAGTGTGCATGCATGCATACAAAGGCTTATACCCAGAATAAACTTAGTTGGTCTCTAAGGTGCTACTGGACATTTTTTTCTCCCGACTGTGTCAGACCAACACGGCTACCTACTTGAATCATATATCATAAAGACACCAGTCTCCAACATCCCTCATTCGAAGGAAATCAAACCTGGAGTAAGTGCCTGGAACCCCTGGAATCTTGCACCACTTGGAGTTCGGCATGGTGTACAACAATATTTACACACACAAGCTAAATGTGCTCATTGGCTAGATTGTGAAAACAGTAGTAAAACCCCTATGGCTTGGTGGGTTTGCAAGTGCTAGGCTTTCATGCTGAAATGCTTTCCTTTCTTTCGCTAAACTCAAGCCTAGTGTGTTTGTTTCATCATATGAGATTATTTATGGCTTAAACACTGCAATAAGTCCAAACACAATAAATACAATGTTAAAATACAATCTTTTATTCATTATACAAAATCAAAACTCATTGATCACTATTTGTCCTGTAGGTCTTGCCAAATAATTGCCCAGAACCACAACTGCATTGTTAGAATCACACAGTCATGTGGAAAGTGGTGCGTTCTAAGCTCTCTCCAGATGAATGTTTTTGCAGATGTGTTCTGCAACATATTGATGCAATATTATTAGTGAATTAGTACTGAACTGCTTATGCATCAGTCTGCTTTCTTAGTCTTGCTGTCTAGAGGGGCACTCTGGTGGTACAGCACAAGCAAAGCGGAGCAAACACACACACACAGACGCCCAAACCTATGTAATAAGGAAAGCTACAGGATTTCTGAAGAAAGCTGTGGGACATGCACCTGTTGAGAATGAAGCAATGTGTCCACCCTGGAACTTCTGTAGGCACTGAAAGCAGAAGAGTACTGAAAGCAGGATGGTGTACAACTGCCTCAGTCATGAATGTGTAATAAACAGGATCTCTGTAGAGGCCCTAACTCTCCTTGGGTGGAGAAAATTGTGCCATTTGCACAATTTGCTTCCTCCTTCCATCTGCTCGCACCTGGGAGCAGTGGAGGAAAAGACTGGCAGCAGAAACTTAAGCATGAGTATTCAGAAGTCCCTCTTGGGTACAATGGGAGACAGCATGTATGTTTTGAATTGAAGCCTGATCAACTCCAGGGAAGGAGCTCAAAGGCACCTTCCTGAGCCTTATGGTCACCTGGGAGCAGCAGCGATAAAGGGAACATTTTCTTATGTGTCCGGTAGCATGGCTGAAGAAAGCCTTGCTGGTATCTAACTTGCAGCAATATTGAGAGACAACTAAACTCTGCACTTGGTGCAGTGCACCTGTTGGTTGAGTTTTGGGGCTCAGTGAGCACAACATATATTTTATTTAATTAAATTATTTAATTTATATGTTATTCTTCCCAAAGGAGCTCAGGGCAGGCTACAATCCCACATTTGGTCCAAGATGTCAAAAAGTTTGGTGTGTTACCTGTCAAAAGCAACACTTATGCAGGTTCTGTAAGCTATAGAGACAATTATGCACATGAAGCAATATATTGTTTAATAAAAGCATTTAGGAGGAAAAATTTGGCCCTGAAATGAAGTTGCAACATAAATACAACAAGTAGGTGCAGGTTTAAAGTTCTATTGATGTTGGTGGCTCTGAAACATGCCTAACTCCTGGCTGAATTGAAGCCAAAGTCTTACAGATGAAAGTCTTACAGAGGCAGAGTGGAACTTCTATTTTCATCATTTTTATGTTCCAATATGGTACTTAAACTTCAGCTCTTTGAGCCGATTCCCATGCACATCCATCTTAATGTATGGTTACTATTCAATGACTATGAGCTGTTTTCAGTGGTTAAGTATACAGTAAAAATGCATAAAAACCCATAAAAATCAGATCTAGGTAAAGGTAAAGGGACCCCTGACCGTTAAGTGCAGTCACGAACGACTCTGGGTTGCGGCGCTCATCTGGCTTTACAGGCCAAGGGAGCCGGCGTTTGTCTACAGATAGTTTTTCAGGGTCATGTGGCCAGCATGACTAAGCTGCTTCTGGTGCAACGGAACACCGAAACCAGAGCAGCGCACGGAAACGCCGTTTATCTTCCTGCCAGAGTGGTACCTATTTATCCACTTGCACTTTGACATATTTTCAAGCTGCTAGGTTGGCAGGAGCAGAGACCAAGCAACGGCAGCTCACCCCGTAACAAAGATTCGAACCGCCGACTTTCTGATCGGCAAGTCCTAGGCTCTGTGGTTTAGACCGCAGCACCACCCGCATCCAAAATCAGACCTAGTGGGAAGCAAATGTGTTAGGAAATTATATCCTGCCAGTTTTTTTAACTCTGAAAAGAACCTTTTTGCAACAATAAAAACTACTTAGAAAATTATGGGAATGAAAGCAGAACCAACTTGGTTGTAAACCCTTGCAGTGGTTTGTTCTTTCAGATAAATGGTGATCAACTGATATTTCAATTTTTGAGGTAACAAAGTTAAAGAAGCACCAACAAGATTTGTTCCTTGCCATTGCAAGATGACTTACTCTTTTTTTTACAAATTTTTCATACACACTTGGCATCGGCTGATGTGTGTTCGGATGAGTCCAGCCTTGAGTGTATCTGCTGAAGGGGAGTGTTGAAATTGATTGTCAATTGTGGTAAGCCAGAAACTGTATTTGTTTGCAAAGTAGTGGCAGGTTCCCTGAGCACCGTTGCATTCGATGAATGGTGTTGCTCGGAAGTCTTCCAAACAGCTACCTGGAGACACGAGTGACTGTCCACCACCTTCGGCACCAGCTGCAGTGTGCTAGGAGAGATCAGATAGGAGGCTCAAATACAAGATAAGAGAAGTATATACAGTGGTACCTCGGGTTACATATGCTTCAGGTTACAGACCCAGCAATAATAACTCGGGTTAAGAACTTTGCTTCAGGATAAGAACAGAAATCGTGCTTCGGCAGTGTGGCGACAGCAGGAGGCCCCATTAGCTAAAGTGGTGCTTCAGGTTAAGCAGAGTTTCAGGTTAAGAACGGACCTCCGGAATGAATTAAGTACTTAACCAGAGGTATCACTGTAATCTGTACTAGCACCATCATTGAATTGAGTGACCGGTTCTACAGGACTCTTTTTTTGTCTCCTATGCTTCTAACGTCTATATGAAACTGCTGAGTGAGAACAGATATTTAGGGGGGGGTGTGTGACACCACCCTCTTAATTGGAGTCAGGTAAAATTGTAGAAGTGCTGAATCTAGAATCAATAATGGACTGGATAAAAGCTGATAAAATGAAACCCAATCCAGAAAAAAATTAAGAGATTCTCTCAGTAGGTAGCCCATCTGGTCAGGGTCCAATCCTCTATAAAACAACTATAAAGGCCACCAACAAAGGGGGGGGGTGACACATCTGCACAAGCAAATTGCATCCGGACACATTTGCAGATACACTTTACCAAAGGAAATTCCTCCCAGTGCTTCTTGAAAAATCTGCTTGAGACTACTCTGTGGGAACTGGAAGAGATGTAGTTGCAAGACCTTTCTTCATTAAGTATTGAGATAAATTTTCCTTAATATACAGAATTATTAAAAATGAGTCAGCAACCAATATACCAATTTACTTCAGTGTTGTGAGAATCAGTGTGAGAAAGCTGTAAGATCTGGCCCTTCCTCTTGCTATGGAAATGCATTTAAAGCATATCACGTCACCTGGTGACTGGCATAGCTCAAGGGGAACACTAGTCCCCCGCTGCCCCCGTTCAAGCAGTTTCCCTGTCTTCCTGTGCATTTCTGAGTGCAATTCAAGGAAATGATGTTAACAGTCTTAACTGTGATCTCAAGCCAAAGAGGGCTTTCAGAGTATCCCACACAAATACAGAAGATCTGGTGAGGCCCTTCTTCAGGTTCCTGAGATCTGATGCCAGAATCCAGGGATGGATGAAAAGTCTGCTGGTCCAGTGCTAGAAGAAGCCAGGCATGCCTTTCCTGTGTTTTCCATTTACTGAAGATGGCAGTGTGGGAAAATGGTTGCTTGTACATAAGAGCATGAGCAAAGTTCTTATTATTGCAGGGTGATTTCATAGCTAAAAGCATCCTTGGAGCATGAACAGCGCGTGAATAGCTTGTGCTGTCCTAAATGATTGGCTCACGTAGGATAGTACTCTCTTTGTCTGCTGGCTTAGAACAAGGTTGCATTTTTGTGGTTGTTACTTTTTCAAGCACAAGGCAGAACAAGCGTTGGGCTGGAGGTAGAGAGGATGTATTTCTTGCTGTGCACAATAAAGGTTGGCTATTAGGCTCTTTGAATCCAACTTGGCGTGAGACTGATTTCTTCGGATGTCGAGCAGGCCCTCGACATGGCAGCACTTTTTTTTCTACTGGGGACAAAGGGGGCTGAAAGTTCAATTCTCTACTGCCTGGTGGAAAAATATACTCCTAGAATTGTCTAAAATAAAAATAAATAAAAATAAATTGTGAGGAACTAAGAAGATCTTCAAAGGAACCTCCATTGCTTGGAACTCCTTCTTGGCACCCAACTTCCTGCTAATAGAAAAAAAGTGGGCTTTGCTGTTCACCTGGATTCTGCCTGCAGAATGTGGGAACCTCTCCTTGATTTCTCACAGTGCCAAAAATGGGTCATCTCTGGTTGCACCCCATTTGAAGGGGGGGGCAGGAGCGGTAAATGCCCCCGTAACTTTGCATGTAGTTGCAGATGTTTTTGCTCCCTAGCCAGCTGTGTTTGGATCGTCAATAGCAGAATTATGGGCATGTGAAGGTATTGAATTGTACTGCTCCTGTTTTTATTCTCTGGTATTTATTGGAATTTATTCAGATTTATCCTGCTGTTCTGATTTTTATATGGTTTACTTTCTGCTATTATATATTTACATATCTTCCTGAACTGACTTTCATAAGAGGTGAGTTATAAAGATAATTAAACAAGTAAAATAAGAATCAAAGGGGGCTGGGGAACTCCTATATTTTAGATGCACATAAAAGTTACTGAGCGAGAAATTGAGATGTTCAGATTTGAGCATATCCGCATCAGCAAAATCTGGGAAATGCTAAGATAAATCATAACTCTATAGCTGAAGTTCACTGTAGCCCTTGGAATATATGTACATGATTTAAACGTGATATCTTCTTGGACACAAGCTATACTTAGCATTTTAGGAAAGTTATAGTACTTTGACAAATGATTCATTTGTCACATTCCTGTATATGTGGGTTGTGATCCATGCCATGAAAAGCAGCTCAGTACAAACCCTTTTCTACCATGTACTCCACAAAAGGCACTCTCTTTTTTTTAAAAAAAAAATTATTGCATTTTCAAATACAAAGTCAAAAGTGTAAAGTACATGAAGAAAAAAGAAAGAAGTCATAAACATTTTTGCATTACCAACCGGACTTCCCCATGTCTCCCTCACCCTGCGTTCCTTTCAATAAACATGTCAGCAAATTATTACCTTGTTTCATACCTTACTTGTGTCTTTCAAATATTATTCTTCTAAATTTAAAGTACCTTTTGTCAATAACTTGTACCTTGAAATAAACATAATATAGCTTTAAATTTCAACCTTTTCTTACGTTTTTTATCTTAGTTTCTTGCTCACCAAACCTAATTGCTGAAGCTAGAATTTCCAAATCGTGCAACTTCTTAACATTCATACAACTTATAATGTTTTTGTAAATAGTCCTTAAATTTTTTCCAGTCCTCTTCCATTGTTTCTTCTCCCAAATCTCGGATTCTGCTAGTCATTTCAGCCAGTTCCATATAGTCCATCAATTGCGTCTGCCACTCTTCCAGTGTGGGAAGATCTTGTATCTTCCAATATTTTGCGATAAGTATTCTTGCTGCTGTAGTTGCGTACATAAAAAAGGTTCTGTCCTTCTTTAACACCTTTTGGCCAACAATACCCAGGAGGAAGGCATCTGGTTTCTTAGGGAAGGTGTACTTGAACACCTTTTTTAGCTCATTGTAGATCATTTCCCAGAAGGCCTTCACTTTTGGGCAAGTCCACCAGAGGTGAGAGAATGTCCCTTCAGCCCCCTTACATTTCCAACATTTATTGTCAGACAGGTGATATATTTTTGCAAGCTTGACTGGGGTCATGTACCACCTATATATCATTTTCATAATGTTTTCCTTCAGGGCATTACATGCCGTGAATTTCATTCCAGTGGTCCATAACTTTTCCCAGTCTTCAAACATAATGTTATAGCCAATATCCTGAGCCCATTTTATCATGGCTGATTTAACTGTCTCATCCTGAGTGTTCCATTTAAGCAACAAGTTATACATTCTCGAAAGTACCTTAGTCTTAGGTTCTAACAGTTCAGTCTCTAGTTTTGATTTTTACACCTGGAATCCTACTTTTTTGTCCAGCTTAAAGAGTTCTTGAACTTGGGCATAAAGAAACCAATCTTGCACCCTATTCTTTAATTTTTCAAAGCTCTGCAGCCTCCAGTTATCTCCAATTTTTTCTACTATTTCCCAATATTTCGGCCAGCCGGCTTCCATATTGGGTCTTTTTCGAACCTTGGCCTCCACTGGTGATAGCCACCTCGGGGTCTTGCTTTCTAGTAAGTCTTTATATTTTGTCCAGACCCTGAATATTGCTTTCCTGACAATATGGTTTTTGAACATTTTATGAATCTTTACCTTGTCATACCACAAATATGCATGCCATCCAAAAGCATTATTAAACCCTTCCAGATCTAGGACATCAGTGTTCTCAAGAAGTAACCAATCTTTCATCCAGCAGAAGGCTGCAGCTTCATAATATAACCTTAAGTCTGGCAGGGCAAACCCCCCTCTTTCTTTTGCATCAGTTAGTATTTTAAATTTTATTCGGGGCTTTTTGCCCTGCCAGACAAACCTAGAGATATCCTTCTGCCATTTCCCAAAACATTCCACTCTGTCCACGATCTGTAGGGTCTGAAACAAAAATAACATCTTCGGCAATACATTCATTTTTATAGCTGCGATTCGACCTAACAAGGAAAGTTTCAATTTTGACCAAATCTCTAAATCTTTTTTAATTTCGTACCAACATTTTTCATAATTATCTTTAAATAAGTTCAAATTTTTAGCAGACAGATTAACCCCTAGGTATTTCACCTTTTTGACCACATTTAATTCTGTCTCTTTCTGAAACCCCTCTATTTCCAAGGGTGTCAAATTTTTCTCCAGAACCTTAGTTTTTTGCTTGTTCAGTTTGAACCCCACCACCCGACCAAATTCACAAATTAATTCTAACACTCTCTTCGTACTAGATTCTGGCTCCTGTAATGTCAAAACCAGGTCATCTGCAAAGGCTTTCAGTTTGAATTGTTTCTCTCCGACCTGTACTCCTTGTACCAACCGGTCTTCCCTAATCATGTTCAAAAGCACCTCCAGGACAGAAATAAATAGCAAAGGGGATAGGGGGCAACCTTGTCGTGTTCCTTTTTCAATTTTGAACTCTTCTGTCACCACATTGTTAACTATCAGTTTAGCTTTTTGCTCTGAATAAATTGCCTCTATTCCATTTTCAAACCCCCGTCCCACTCCCATCCCTTCCAAATTTTTCTTCATAAACATCCAAGAAATGTTGTCAAAGGCCTTCTCCGCATCAATAAAAATTAACACTGCTCTTGTGTTGATATTTGCAAAAGTTCCAAAATGTCAATGATATTCCTAGTGTTATCAAACAGATGTCTTCCTGGGAGAAAGCCTGCCTGATCCTTATGAATTACTTCATTTAGTACCTTTTAAAGTCTACTTGCCAAAATGTCTGCAAAAATTTTGAAATCCACATTTAGGAGTGAGATGGGACGGTAGTTCTTAAGTTGAGTCTTTTCAGTTTCCACTTTAGGAATCAATGTGATGAAAGCTTCTTTCCACGACTCCGGTGCCTTCTTCCCCTCCAAAATCTGATTGCATACCTCCATTAATGGTTGTATCAAAAAGTCTTTTAATACCTTGTAGTACTTGGAGGTAAGCCCATCCGGGCCTGGAGATTTGCCTAATTGCATGTTCTGAATGGCACCCTCAACTTCTTGTTGTGTTATTTTGTAATTCAGGATTGTTCTCTTTTCCTGAGCAAGTTTTGGTAGTCCATTGATTTTCAAGAATTGGTCAATCTCAGTCTCTTCTTGCGGCCCTTGGGTATAAAGTTTTTTGAAATATCTCTGAAAACACTTTCTGATTTCTTCAGGTTTCTGAATATCTTTCCCATCAATCTCTAAGTTAGTAACTGTATTCAATTTTTGTCTCTTTTTCAACTGCCATGCTAGCAGTTTCCCACACTTATTTGCTGATTCAAATGATCTTTGTTTCATTTGTTTGATTTTCCACTCGACTTCTTGATTTATCAATTTCGCATATTGTGCTTGGTAAAATTTAATTTCTCTTACAATCTCCTTCGATTTTGGTTTGCATCTCAATTTTTTCTCTCCTTCTCTTATCTTCTCCAAGATCTTATCCTTTTTTCCATTCCAAAGTCTTTTCTTTATCGTGTTCTGTTGTATCAGAAAACCTCTCATAACTGCTTTACTTGCATCCCAGATAGTTCTCCTTTCCACCGTTGTGTTCAAATTTATTTCAAAATAGTCTTTCAAAGCTTTTTGGGCCTTCTTCACAATCTCCTGATCTCTTAGTAGGGTGTCATTCATTTTCCATCTAAAGGAGCCGATTGGAGTAAGTCTTAATTCCATTTTCATAGCGTTATGGTCGGAGCAGGTTTTTGGGCAGATTTCCACTTTTCTAGTCTTAGGAGCCAGCCCTCTAGTTGTCCATATTTGGTCGATTCTTGTCCATGACATGTGGGCCTCAGAAAATAAAGTTCCTTCTTTACCTAAGGGGTTCTTTGTCCTCCATATATCAATCAAGTCCATATTGTCAGTTAGTTCAAAAAAAGTTTTAGGTAGTCTGCCATCTTTTGTTAAGTTTTGGTTTTGTGACTTGTCCATGTTTGTAGAGACCACCCCATTCATATCTCCCATCATAATGATGTTGGTATAGTCTAGATGATCCAGCATTATCTCATGCAGCTTCTTGTAAAATTCTGATTTCCCCTCATTCGGTGCATAAATTCCTAATATTAGAAATTTTTCTCCTTGCGTCTGTATTTCGATTGCCAAAATTCTTCCTTGCTCATCCTTAAATAAAAATTTTGGTGACAGGCTTTCCTTTGCATAAATCACCACTCCTCTTTTTTTAACTCTGTCTGATGAAATAAATTCTTGGCCTAGTCTTTTGTTGATTAATACTTTCCTGTGAAGCCTAGTCACATGTGTTTCCTGCAAACATATAACGTCCAATTGTTCCTTTTTCAATATGTGAAATATTCTTCTTCTTTTTTCCGGGGAGTTTCCACCATTAATATTCCAGCTAAGAAGCTGCAGAGACATCCTGGATCAATTGTTAGTCCTGTGGTGGCGTCTCTTTCTTTTGATCCTCTGGTCCCGAGGGCTCAGGTGTCGGATCAAGAGCAGGCAAAGGTGGTGGCCAAGGTCCTACTGCTCCCTTTTGAAGGTCCTCTCCGTGTTGGTTCAAGAATTTTTGTTGGTCTTCTGCCGTTTTAATTTTAACTTTCTTTCCTTTGAAGTTAAAAGATAGTCCTTGAGGGAACTCCCACCTATAGGAAATTGAATTGCCTCTCAATAGTCTTGCAAGTTCTGTATACGTAGCTCTAAGATCCAAAAGCTGTTTCGGTATATCTCTGTAAATTTCTGCTCTGTTGCCTTGAATATCAAGCGATTTTCCAAAATGAAGGCCCAATATTTTGTCTCTCTCTTGCTTGGATCTCAAAATAATCAAACAGACTCTGGATCTGTCTTTCCTCACCACTCTTCCCAATCTAAATGCAGTTACAATTTTAAAGTCCTTGTCTTCTTCTATGCCCCAGAACTTTGAAAATTCTGATGTCAAATAACCAATCAGATCTTCCTGCTCCAGTTCTGGAATACCTCTGAGTCTAAGGTTGCTTTCCCAGTTTCTCAGTTCAGTCATAGACAGGTAGGCCTGCTGTTCACTAACCTGTTTATGCAGCGGCTTCACCTCCACCTTTATTGCCTCGGCCTTCAAGTTGGCTTCCTCTGCTTTTTGCTTCGCTTCTTCGGCCAATTTACGGTTCTCTAATGCTGCTTCCTGTAGACTCCCAATTGCTTGTGTATGTTGAGCAACCTGATCAGTCAATTTATTAATAGAGGATGTGGCTTGGTCACTTTTGGTCGAATGTTCATCCGCCTTTTTATTTAAGATTGCCAGTTGTTCCAAAATCTGTTTTAAGACTGTTTCAGATCCTCCTGCAGCCATATCCCCTAAAGATGTCAGCTCAGCTGTCCCTTCTTGTGCTTCTAGAACAGCTGGGACAGATGATCTGCGAGCCTGGGAAGTCAAAGTTGTTTGTACCAATTGTTTTGCCCTTGCTTTAGCCAATCTTGTTTTTCCTGTACCGCTCATTCCAGTCCCGTCTATGTGTCAAGGTCAAACTGTAACCAATCCCATGGGAAAGGCAGTTCCAAAGTATAAATAACAAGGCAACAGAAAACCCAAACAAAATGTAGTTCCCAGAGAGTTGTAAATCGAAAGTCCTCTAGGGGGAGTACACATATAGTTCCTCAGAAAGAAAGAGGTTTCTCCGCCATTAAAATCCCTGCAGTCCCAAACAAGTCCAAAAGACCTTTAACTTCTTTTTAGCCTGTAGAGCTTTCCCCAAGTTAATACAAAGTCTCACAGAGGGTACAAGAAATAGTTTCCTATTTCTTCCAAAATGTAACATTCAAATGTAACAGTTTCAGAGTTAGATTCAGTTTCAGCAGTTTGACAGTTCTTCTTTATCCTAGCAGCCCGAGATTTTGGTTTCCTCAGTTATTTGTACATCCCAAAGAAAGAGGGAAAAACCCGTCAAAAGTCCAATATATGTACTCCAAAATTGTTCTTTTAATTTCCCAGCCAGAAAGGTTCAATTGTTTGCATGATACTCCACTTTTTAGAGTTCTTTTCAAAGCGCTTCCCGCTTGTCAAAACTTTTGCTTTGATCTTTTTAGCACGGTCGGGAGACGGACTTCCTGGTAGCGTCTCCCGCTTTCAGCCAAATTAAAATACTTTAATCCCGGTAATTTTAAGCTCTCTTACTCACGGGTTGTAGTTGTAGACCTAATATTCCAAGAAGAAAGGTCAGCGCTCATCGGCAGCAGCAGCGCGGCTTCACTTCCGCAGAAAGAGCGATGAACTCACAGCACCGCTCCCCCTTCCACGTTCCGAAGCCCCTTACGGGGTTCCTTCTGCGTTTCTGGGGGGCTCTTGGTGCCCGCCGAGTCCCACGGCCACAGGCTCACTCTGCCTGTGGTTTTTCTTGATGGGTCTCCGCTTTGCCGTAGCGGACGACCCTTTTCTGCGGAGCCCCTCTTCACAGCACGAAGAGGACCGCCTCAGGGGTCACTTCAGCAACTTTTGGTTTCCAGTTTGGTTTTAACATTGCTATTGGTTTAATAATAATAATAATAATAATAATAATAATAATAATAATAATTAATTATTTCTACCCCGCCCATCTGGCTGAGTGAGAATCTCTTTCTTCCACTCAAACACTGAATGTTTCTGTTCATGAAACATCCCCCTTCTCAGTCCTGCTTGGAAGAGCTGCTTCTTGCTGTGCCAACTTCCAAAGTGCACTTACTGCACAGGTTAGTTGGCTGTCAAGTGGGAAGGGAAGGCATGCATGAAGGCAGGATATAGAGGTATATTTTAAATTCTTTGTTTCACAATCAAGAAAAGAAGCAAATACCATGAGGAAGGAATAGCCGATCCACAAGCTGCGCCATCCTTCAGGACAGTGTGGAATAGTGGCATCTTGGCTGTGAATGGCTATGGCAACAGCCGGCGCTTCACAGACGGAGCAACGGCTGATATAAGGTCGGATTTCTTCTTCTTGTACAGGCATCATTGGAAGAGGGGCTGTTGTTGAGAGCCAATAAGACTTATCATTGCGACTTGCATAATAGCAGACGTCCCCAGGATTGCAGTAAAGAAAAGGCATAGTGCTGAATCGAGTCAAACATGAACCAGCTAGACCTGAAAAAGTAAAACACAAACCTTCATTAGTTCTGGTTTTAGATAATACATTTATGGTTCTAGCCAAAGGCCATGACAAACTTGTCATCTGCCCCTCACTTTCCTCTACAACATGTGCAGAAACTGCTTTCTTGACTATTGGACCAACTATTGGTCTTGTCTGCTCAATCCACCGGAGCCTGTCTTTGAATGCAGGGGAAGTCCCTAACTCACTGAGAGTTTGAGACGCATCAGCTCCCCTCACCTGGTTTAGAGTGCAGGGTGGGGATGAAAGGTAGGCAAACTACCCCAGAAGGAGCATGATGTGTCCCTAGCAGAGGTACTCCACCTCCCCCAACACCCCATACAATAGTATTAATAAAATAATCCTGAACATACATCCATAATATAAGCCAACATCCATGATGTAAGAGAGAAGATACCAGAGACACCAACAAGCTTAAATCTAGCTGATTTAAAATTAAACCTCAAAATCACTAAAACAACATAGCAATTTTATCTAGCTCCTTTTTCCTGATTCCCTCCCCCCGCCAGTACAAACGAGAGCCACTCTCTGTGTTACAAAGCTATTACTGTCTCTCAAAAGGAACTGAACCACTTCTGCCAGGGTGTACCTGCTTGCTTATGTGAACAAAGATTTCAGGAAGTGATCTCTTGGGTCTCTGTGTAAGGGGCAGACTAACAGATAACGAGTGATGTCTTCCACCTGAGGTTGACCACAAATACAAAGTCTGTCTGTGGGATCTTGTTATAGTGGTCACCAAGACTGCAGTGGGCATCAGCTGGAAATGCGGCTCAATAAAGGCATTTTTTAAGGACCCTGGCTAGAGTTTTAACTATTTTTTGTGCTTTTATCTTGCATTTTTATCTTGTGAACTGCTCTGAGATCTTCTGATGAAGGGTGGCATATAAATATCGTAAGTAATAAGTAATAAATTAGAGTTTGGTCAGATAACTAGCTCTGAAATGTTCCGTGCTCTGGAGCGGATACTAACAAGAAAATACTTGTTTCTAATTAGTTGCAGGACCTCTTGGATTCTCTCCAGAAGAGCCAAAACCTTCATTAGTGTCTCTCTGTAATTTGTTCTGAAAGTTTAACTCTCAGGTAGGTTCTTTACAACTAGGACAGAGGCCAACAGAAACCTTAAGAGGCTGGGGGTGGCCCTTCATAATACTTTAATTGCTAAGCAAAACCCAGTTTCAAAGAGTACATTTTTCAATTCACCACTTCTGAAATCACTATGATCTAATGGATTCTACTGGTTTCTGGTGCTCTAATTCCGGATACTTTATTCTGAGTCCATATCTAAAAACTTCAAAGTTCTTGACCACATGATTTTAATGATACTTTTCTGGTCTCTGGATTCTAAAGAAGTAAGAGTGTTATGAGTGATTCTGGTAAGATCATTTCTGCTATGCCAGCTGTTGGTGCAATTCCATTAGGTTAGGTACACCCCACACATTCAAAGCACCCCTCCCAATAAACCTAGGAACTGTAGTTTGTTAAAGGTGCTGGGATTTGTTGCATTGTGAACTACAATGCCCAGGATTCCTGAAGGAGAGGGTGTGCTTTAAATGCATAGTGCTTCTGAAGCCTGACTGTTGCACATCCGTATTTGCACTCCATTAGATGGCACCTGCGGATGAGAATAGCAGCAAAAGCAGACAAGCTATTTCCATTTGCCCCTCATTTCTGCCCTCTTCTGAATGGTGCAATGGCTTTCTGTTAGCAACTTCTGCCAGTGCTGTAATGACACATCCATGCAATTGTGCCATCCTGTTGTATTAGAAGTTGAGTGTGCTTTGCTAGAATGCTAGTGATGATGCTCCCTCTTGACTGCATTTCTCTTGGTGCAATACCCCAAAGTATTTGAAAACAGGGTGATGATCCTCTTTGGGGATAAGACTGTTGAAGAGCTAACAGCAAACCACAGACTAAAAAAGAATTCCACATAGTTGCCCTTTCTCTTTTCTCCCATCTTTCTTGAACCATTACATCTGCCGCTGTTTTAAGAAGAAAGAATTTTTATTTTAGTCCAAGAAAAATTGTGTGGACAAGTCATAAAAACATACTGAAAACCAGACTGAAGCGTTATACCAGTATAAACAGTAAAATACCACTTGCATTTAAGAAGGGATTGAAACTACTGGCATGTTGAAAGCACTTACACATGCTACTGGGCTTTGTGCTAAGAATGTTGCTTTCTCGAATTATTAAACTGAATAGGACAGAAAAGCCAAGTCTCTCTGACAGATCTGTGGTTTTCTCCTCTCTCTGTATTATGTATGATAAATTTATGCTTGTTCCTAACATCTCAAAATAGCTTTTCTTCATCCACATATGTAATTTCTATCAGTTGCCTGAAAATTATTGGTTAGGGTTAAAATGCAGTTTGTTTTTGTTTTTACAAAACCATGTGAAGAATGCTCAGCTCATAAATGCATACCTAGATCCTGATTGTGTGCCTTATCTTGTCCTTCAAAGTAGAGCAAGCTGTATCCACTCCAGAGTTTGCTCATGCCCACTGGACACATGGGCTCTTGATCCGCCTGGCTGTGCTTCACCAAAAGATATCCCATATTGATGCTGCGGCCGGGCATACCTGGCAGCCCAGGAGTACCTGGATCACCTGCTGCACCTGTGGAGAGGAAAAGGGAGCTTAAATGTTGCAGGAAGTAAACTGACTTAAAGGTTTCATTGCTTATGGAAAGAATTCCATAGGAACCTCCATCTGCTCAGTGCTGAATAAACCATGAGAAGAGGTTAGGTGTTCAAAGCTACTAAGCTGAAGCCATTTTTACAGCAGCTCTGACATCCGGTGATAAAAGTGTTTGCTTTATGTGCATATAAACCCTCCTCAGTGTCACCTGACATCATGTAGTCCTCTTCTACCCTTTTGGCCTGTAGGGCTGGGTGCTGTGTGGCTGAATATTCTCATGTCATCTTGCAAGTTTTCCAGATGCCGGGAGTTTAAGTGGGGAGCAGTAACAGAATGACTCTTACTCTCCTGCCACAACTTTGAACTGAAGTGTGGCAGTTTTGGCGGGGGGGGGGCTATATCTCCCACAGCTCCATGTCAACAAATTACATTTTGATTTCATTCTACCCTGTTACCCTATCCAATTCTATTGCAAAGCACAAGATCTTCACTGCATGCATTGTGGTCTTCCATGCTGGAGTTGTCCCTAAATGAGGCTGACAACGAAGGGGTTCACCACTTTGTGTTTCCTTTTCGGGGAGGTACAGGGGCGCCCCCATAGTTAGGAATGGGAACTGTGAGCCAGGCACTGTAGGATACACTGAAATGCATTTGTTTGGGGTTTATTCTTAAATCCAGGTACTTCTAAAGCTATAAACTGAAAATGGGGCCCCTTTTGTTTAGGAGAGAAGGTGGATCGCCTCTTCCAAAATGATGCCCTGCTGCGCAACTACTAACAAAGTAAACTTTTTATTTTTTATTTTTAGAATGACTGTTTCCCCCTCATATGCAAATATTTTTTTGCAGATTTGGTTAACAATCAAGGCTGTGATCCAGTGCCACTTACCTGGGAATAACATCTGAGTAAACATGCATAAAATTGTGCTGAAAACTCATATAAGTAGTTGATGTAAATTTATTTTCAAATGAGCGAAGGGGTGGGGGGGGGGAGAGACCCAGGGCCAGTATTTACCTTCAAAGCCCCCTGGGCCCTGCAGTCCTGTTCTCCCTTGATCACCTCTGAAGCCTGGAGCTGCAGGTATTCCCCCTCTTCCTTGCAGACCTTGTTTACCCATGGGGCCTCTAGAACCTTGAAAGTAAATTTAAAAAGAATCATAATCCATACCATGCTGTAAGATTTTCATGAGGAACAGAGTCCATTCAAGCTCTCTGAACACTAGATGTGCAGATATGAAGCCCAGATAGTCATGTTTTTATGAAGAAGTCAGGAGCAAAGTGACTTGCATGCAGAAATGGTTGAATAAGGTTGGAGTAGGCACATATTATTTGAAGGAAGAGGAAACCATCCTATACAGGCCTCTTGGTCCCCAACAAGAGCAATGCACCTATGGCAAATACCTCTGACTGCAATTATGGCATACATGTTTGGAATGAGGGTGGAATAGCCTACAGATTTCAGTCTTATCAGGGACAGGGATAGGCGATACAGCTGTACCAGAATGGGATCTGGAGAAAGAAGAAAAGATTGGATGTGTTTTATTTGTCTAAAGCTTAGCAGGACAGGTCAGAAAGTACTGGGCATCATTTCCGAAGCTTGGCATGCCAAGGAAATCAACACTAAGCTTGAGTCATGAGTGGCCAGTTATCACATAATGGTCCCCCCCCCTCAGGGAGGTACTTCTGGAATGACTACAAAGTGGCAGAAATATGAAAAGTATTGGTACAGAGTTGTACATTCATGGGGGGTTTTCAGTTAGGTTCCCCAAAGTCACCAACTAAATTTCTGTGAGCCCCTGACCTGATTTGGATAATTACTGCATGAGCCTTCTTCATTAAAATTCCAATTTATTGGGAAAAAATGTTATATGCAAAACAGGATTGGACCATGAAAAACAGCCTTAACTCACTAAGGCCATTTTGCATATCCATGTTCCTACCTGGAGATCCTGGTGGGCCTTGAGGACCCATCTCACCCAACGTGCCAGGAAGCCCTCTGTTTCCAGGAGCACCTGGGCTCCCTTGTTCTGAAACCAGTTTAGGAAGGACAGGAGGCAGTCCAGGGGAACCTGGAGGTCCCTGAAATCCTGAAAGTTAAAAATGCACAACAAAGTAACAGACAGAATATTCCACTTGTCTTGGGCGCTCTTTCTCATTAGTTGACCCAGGAGCTCATTGCTCATGTTCGAAAGCAGTGTTTGAAACCCCCATTGTTCTAGGCGCATTTTGCGACAGGGAATTTCTTCAGCGTGAGCTGTTTCTGAGCTCTGGGCACAGTACTGTGCCTAAGATTTCAGATTAAAACTGCAGAGTGGAAGGAAAGGAGGACCTTTTTCTGCTTCCTCACTTCCAGCTACTCTCTGAAGATTGGAGAAGAGAGAGACCCTCTGAAGAATATTAGGGGGGTGGGCAGGGGAAGGACTAGACCATGTGAAAAATGAAATAATACTTTAACTGCAGTTCATTCATTTTCAGCTTTGTATTCTTGTTATAAAAAGTGTGCCTAGACATTCTGTAGTTGTGCCCATACCTTAGGTTTAAAGTGCCATTTAGCTCCTAGCTTTCATATCTCAGTTTCTAACACTGGTTAGAAGCAGTGGTGGTGTCATGGCAGACTTGGACATGGAGTTCAGCAGAGTAAGTAGGAGGCCTTTAAACCAGAATCTGTCAGATTTCCTCAAACTTGGCCCTCCAGATGTTTTGAGATTACAGTTCCCATCATCCCTGGCCACTGGTCCTGCTAGCTAGGGATCAAGGGAGTTGTAGGCCAAAAACATCTGGAGGGCCGAGTTTGAGGAAGCCTGACATAGATTCTGATCTATGTTAAAAACTGGCCCAGAGGAGAAGCACACAGTGGCAGAGCAGTCGGATCTCTCCTCCCAGGAGAGCACTGGTCATTATGCTGTGTCCAAACCCTCTGTTGCCTCCTGCCAATGGAGAGCCTGATTCCTCTGGCCCTGTGGCTCCTTCGTGCCAATGTGAATCTCTGGTGGGAAGAGCAGAACAAGGTGACATTGGTAGACTATGTGGAACCTCTCTGGTGAGCCTACCATCTCCTAACTCAATCCCTAGCTTCCTGTACCCCTTCTTTGACTGTTTGTTAAATTGTAAAATTAAGGCCCCAGGTTAGAATTGATCCATGGCTGACATCACAGTTACTATTTTTTTATTACCTTCCTATTAGACCAGGAAAGGGATGCGGGTGGCACTGTGGGTTAAACCACAGAGCCTAGGACCTGCCGATTAGAAGGTTGGCGGTTCGAACCCCCGCAACGGGGTGAGCTCCCGTTGCTCGGTCCCTGCTCCTGCCAACCTAGCAGTTTGAAAGCACGTCAGAGTGCAAGTAGATAAATAGGTACCACTCCAGCAGGAAGGTAAACGGCGTTTCCGTGCGCTGCTCTGGTTCGCCAGAAGCGGCTTAGTCATGCTGGCCACATGACCTGGAAGCTGTACGCCGGCTCCCTCGGCCAGTAAAGCGAGATGAGCACCGCAACCCCAGAGTCGGCCACGACTGGACCTAATGGTCAGGGGTCCCTTTACCTTTATTAGACCAGGAAGGGAAGGACTTTGTAAACCAGTTACATAAACATCCTGACCCTGAGACTGCAAAATTGTTTTTTTTTAGTGTTTGCTTTCTTTTCATTTTTATCATTAACAACCATCACCCTCCCTTGATGTCAGGCATTCAAACAGTTGCCTCTCGCCTTAGCAACCAGGGATCTTTCAAATCCCCCAAAGACCTCAATTCCCTAGACAGGAACCTTCCTCCCCTCTTCTCTTTCTTTTCTTCACTATCACTTGCTGTTGCACTACATCACACCTGAGCCTCGCAGAAATAAGGGCAGAGAGTGACTCCCTGCTCCTCTCCCTCCCTGTTCCCTGCAAGTCCATCTACTGGCAATCCTTTTTCTCCCCCTCTGTCTCAGCTCTTCCGAGGGAAGCCCTTCTCCTACTCTTCCTTAGCTTCACAGGGCAGCCCACTTATCTCCTTCTGCATCATCCTGACACTCCTAACACCTTGACAGCTGCTGCTTCATTTGTCCCTTCTTTTTTGTCCCTAACTCTGTCATTCCAGCCTGTCATCTGGGGATTTAGCCAGTCTTTATCCTCCCTCCCTCCCTCCCTCCCTCCCTCCCTCCCTCCCTCATTCTTTCCTTCCAAGCTTGACCATGTCTCCCTTTCTTCGGAAGACCTGATCTCCCCCCCCCCTTGCTGTACTCTGGTCTTCTGCCTTGGCTGTCTCACCTCAAAACCTCCTTTCCCTTTCCCCTCACTCCCTCTTCATAGACCTCCAGCAGATCTAACATGACCCTCCAGACCTCCCCATTTGGCCCGTGAAACAGTTTTCAGGAAGCCCCACCCACCTGCCCCTTAGCTGACATCATAGAAGGCATCAGGTGGAGGACAGAAAGGGGCGGGACTTCAAAGGCGCAACCGAAAGCTCCCAGTTGCTCCTCTGAAGCAGCAAGGTGCACCTTCAATGCTCCAGCCTGTCTTCCACCAGCTGGATGGAAAGGCATTTCTTCTTCAAACAATGCTGATCACTTTGTTGCTGTCAGGCCAAGCTGTTTTAATTTCTGCTTCCAAATGTGTTTTGATGTATTTTTATTATTGTTTCTAACTTGTTTGTTTTTATTACTTTGTATTTATAATGTTGGTTTCAAATGCTGTAAGTTGCCTTGTACCTTGATTTTGCAGCCTACAGTTGCTCCTGTTTCCCACCCTCCCGCCCTTTAAGGTTTCGTTCCTTGACCTTGCTATGGACCTTGGTTGGTCACCGTTGAGGGGCCTGGTAGGAATTTTTTCCACTTGGCAAACTGGCACCGGCCACTTGGTTTTTCGCCTACCTCGTAGCAAATGGTCACAACTTGCTTGGTATTGGCAGTTAGGCATTGGTATTGGTATTGTTATGTAGATGGAAGAGGGGAGGAAGCGCCATCACCTGCCCCACATATTGAAGGGTAGTCCGATAAAGGATTCCGGGGGGCGTGGCCCTGTCCGAAGCCTATGGAGGTGAGGGCCTAAGGCACGCCCCCGAGCGGTGACCCCGGGGGAGTTCCTAGTTGATGTGCATCAGCAGGACTCCCCCTACTGGTGGTAACCCTTCCCGGACTTCAAGCGGACGGGCTGAAGCCGGATATAGTCGGTTAGGACCAATGCCTAAGCCAATACTGCTCATCACCTGTAACCAACAAAGTTGTGGCCTTATTTAGCCCATTAACCTTAATAATTGTGTCATGCGTCTTTATTTCCACGGGGGGGGGGACTCGTCACGCAAATATAAAAAATAAACCTGAGGAGGTTGGAAGAAGAAGCATTTGAAGGTGCACTCCCACCCGCTGATCAGCTGATTGTGGAAAGGGTGCATCTGGCTCAAGGCTTTCAAATGCTCCTCTCATGTTTCACCTTCAAATTTCTGCTGAGATTTGGAGGAGAAATGTGGGGTGGGGTGAAAGCCCCTCTGCGGTGTGTTTTGGTCTATAAAATGCAATAGCTTTTGAAGATTTATAAACACTGCATGAACTGGCATAGTAGAAATAGTTACTCACCAGGAAATCCTCGGTCTCCTTTGGGTCCAGTGGGGCCAAAGTCACCAGGCGTTCCCAATATGCCAACAAAACCCATGACTCCTTGTTCCCCTTTATATCCTTCAAGGCAAAACAATGGTATGGTGTTACTGCATGCCTGCTTAATCTGTTTTGGTAGCTGCTCTTTCTACTAGGTTTTTCCATCATACCTTTTGCCCCAGGGAACCCTGGAATTCCAGGTCTCCCATCTGCGCCATGGTCTCCTCTAAGTCCTTTTGAACCATCTTCTCCAATTATGCCGATCTGCCCCACTTCTCCTTTGCTTCCAGGTGGAGCAGCTATTCCTGGTGGTCCTGGTGGTCCTGGGTAGCCTACAATAGATACACAAAGATTAAAACTTGGGACTGAAAGACCACAAGGGCAACATCTTTGGGGGCCTGTCTTCTCCTGATTGTAGCAAGTTAATGTAGAGCTGAATTAAATTGAAGGTGCAGCCTACCTGCAGCATCCGTGTCAATAAGTAAGAGGAAAAGATGGGCAAGCTGTGAAAAGGCATTTCTGATGGTTGGAGAGCAGTTTACATCACTTTTCCAGACAAAAAGCTTTTCCTTGGGGTAGCTTCCAATGCTACAATTCTATGAGTCTACATCTGTGTATCTGGTTATTCCCTGTATTCCTTCTGATAGTGCCTTCTGAATACAGTGTCTCTGAAGCTTCTGCTTTTATCAGTTGCTGCTTTGCTCAGAGTGGCTGGGGCAGCCCAGTCAGATGGGTGGGGTATAAGAAATGGAATAATAGCAAAAAATGATTTTTTCATCAGGACAAGACTTGAACCAAAGCTTGTTCCTAAGACTAAGCCTTTCATTGGTTTCAAACTCTTGTCTTAATATCAATTTATCCAAACCCAAACAACCATGTATTGGGTGTATCAATACATCTTTGAATATACATAGCTCATACATCTCAAATAAAGGAAAAAATGAGACCCTCTTTGTTCCCTTCAGAGACTCCTCTGTGGGGAAGAACATCCCCAACCCTAGTCTGCGCTGTTCAAGCAAATGCTACATAAGGAAAAGGCTTCCCGCAGGGAATGATGGATTGTTCAACCCATGATTGATGTGCCCTCTGAAACAGTGGGGGGGGCAATGGGGAAGGGAAAGGGCATCATAAATTTGCATCCTGCTGACAGAACAGTCTTCCATTATAGTGAGGAACACAACTGTATACATGACAAAATGTGTAAAAATAGGCAGAAGTTACAAAACTCTACTCTATGCATAAGCACCCAGTCCATCCGTGGAGACCCAGGACCAACCAGTTAGAAGCCACATGGTCTCCGTTACTCCCAACAAGTAGCTATATAACCAGATATATGCTACTCTCTGTAATCTATCTTCCACCTCCATTTCTAACTCTGATCTCTCTTTCTCCCCTCCCCACCATACTCTGTTTGTGCAACCCACTAGACCCAACGAACACTAAGGCAAGAGACACAGAGCAGCCCAGGTGGGATGGCAAGGAAACACCTTACAAACCAGAGAAGCAGGAATAGTTAGCTTAGAAGCAGTAGCATTAAATGTGAGGGGGCTAGGGAGCCCTGTCAAAAGAAAACACATTACCTCGTATGAAACCCCACAAGAGATACACTTAAGGTAAAAGATAAAGGTAAAGGATCCCTGGACGGTTAAGTCCAGTCAAAGGTGACTATAGGGTATGGCAATCATCTTGCTTCAGGCCAAGGGAGCCGGCATTTATCAACAGATGACTTTCTGGGACATGTGGCCAGCATGACTAAACCACTTCTGGCACAACGGAGCACCATAAATGGAAGCCAGAGCACACGGAAACATCGTTTACCTTCCCACCGCAGCAGTACCTATTTATCTACTTGCACTGGTGTGCTTTTGAACTGCTAAGTTGGCAGGAGCTGGGACAGAGCAACAGGAATTCACTTCGTTCCACAGATTTGAACTGCTGACCTTCCAATCAGCAAGCCCAAACTGTCTGAAGGTAGCAAACTCCTAAACAAACCCTTCTTTAGCCAACAGTGGGTGCCCCCCAGCACAGGAAAAGCATAGTGCTTAGTAGAGACCTAATGTTGAAGCCACAACAATGCTAAAAGACAAAAAGAAAAAGATTCATTTTTGCCATGGGAACACTCGGTGGCAAAACTAAGGCAGTAGTATCAAAATATCAAGATAAATCTAAAAGATCTCTGTATCAACTGAAAGTAGTGGGGTTGTGTTTACCTGGCACACCATCCAAACCTGGTGATCCCACATCACCAGGTGCTCCAGATATGTTTGAAACTCCAGGAAGGCCTGGTCTTCCCTCAGGTCCAGGGCTCCCAGGTGAGCCTCTCTGTCCTGCCAGTCAGAAATCAAATAGTTACTCCTGGAGATGGATGCACAGGAAAGCTGAAGCGCACCCTTTGTTAAATATCTTCAAAAATTCTGAGCATATGTTGTTTGTTTTTAACAATACTGTCATTATGGTTGCTTCCCATCACAAGAAATTAAGTTTCACCTATATTCTTGTCTGCAGTTTTTGTTATCATGAGTGTGTGTCTTTTTTGCTTTGTATTTTTTCTGGTTTGGTATTATATGTTCATTTTATTTATTGTTTATTTGTATGACGCATAAGTATAAATAAAGTATTTAATAAAAAAAGGGGGGGAGAAATTAAGTTTCACCAAAGCATATTGTTTCTTCCACATGAGATTACTATACATGCAGGTGTTGCTATCAGAACACTCTTTATCCAAAACACTAAGAGCTATGCAAACACAAAGAATTATACCTAAGCATCGCTACACAAATGCCTGATTCAGATACTTGAACAGACAGAGTTTGCCTGCTCCCTTACTCATTGGTATTTTGCTGGTCGGCAGCAGCTGTGTGGGTAGAAACAATGCAGTGAAAGAGAGACATCAGACAAATCACAGATTAGAAGTGTTCCCATAGGAAATAATGGAAATCATCAGCTTGCTATGTGAACGCTTGCCTAACAATTTCCTGGGAATGCCTTATGTTCAGAAAGCGGAACCTGCATGTAACTTTGTGGGATGCCAAATAATATAATGGTAGCAAGTGATGTAGGATTACAAATCTTACCAATCTTGTTAACAATATTTTCTTTGATAAGTATAAATTCATATTATAAAGATATTTAAAATTCAGGAGTTCACATTTTCAGATTACAGGGATAAATTGAGCATTCAGTTTTAAATCAGTTGTTAGGAAGCATTTTTATCCCTTTGCATTCCTACTCCTTGACCTTTACTTTGCTCTGCCCTCCCCCCTTCTCCTGGAGTGGAGTCCCTAAGGCGGTTGAGGGGGCCCTGCTGCGCCTCCTTCTGGCAACTCCTGCAGCCAAGCTGGTGCCAAACGTCTTGCTCTGCTTTCCTTTGGATTCCACCAGCCAGGCAGAGAGCCACACATTCTGAATTTCATGTGCCTCTACCCTTTTCACACACCAATTTGCCATGAGAGTACTTTCTTAAATGAAACCTATAATTTGTTAAATATATTTTGCTAATTGGTGGTGCCATGTATAAAACCATTGAACAACAGACTGACCTAGATCTCCTCTTTCTCCTTTCGGACCAGGAGCTCCTCTGCTGCCTTCAATTGGGCTTGGCTCTCCCACGGTACCTTTGTCACCCCAAATACCTGGGAAACCTGGTGGGCCATATCCATCTGGACCTGTTGTGCAAAAACTTAGATAAATTAGTATCGCTTTTCCCAACCCGGAAATGGGCATCTCAGCAATGTTCATTTTAAACTATCCTATGCATCCTGTGTGGAAAGCTGAAATGTTTAGACAGATTCCCTAATGAACTTACAATGTAAGATAGCCAACCTCATTAACCATCAACATAATATGAACATACCTGGTGATCCTGGAAAGCCCTTGGTACTTGGCAAACCATGTAATCCAGTGATTCCTCTGGCGCCAGCAGCACCTGCCAAAAAGCCACCCATTATTTGTTATTCTTCGATCTGATTTACCAAATGTTACAGATTTCTCTGGAGGCACTGTAGTTTTTTGAAATGAAACATCTTCATGTGAGCCATTTGCTTTGCACTGATTACTATACCAGAAAAAACTTGCTGCAATTACTTTAAACAATTGTGCTCACTAGGATGCAGCAATTAAAGTATTTCTGCTCCATATGAAATGCTTTGCCTCAAATTTAAAACTTGAGTGTGTTATAGCTCATGAATGACAGTTTGGCTGTTGCTTTTTAAAAACAAATTTCTGACTGGTCAAAACCTGGAGGCATCCTGGAGGCTAAAGCAAGTCTTTACAAGTTTATAGTCTGATTGTCTGATTCACTGACTCTGAGAAAACATTTAAATTGATTTTATACAGCAGCAACATTTTAGCAATAAGATTATAACAAATATTTCAAAAAGATGAAAATACATTGTTAACTGTACAGCCTTATATAACCAAGACACTTAACTTATAAAGGGTTTATGGCCATAGAGTTAGATATCCTGCCAGGCTTATCTAGGTTGCACTCCCTCACCTTGGAAGGAAGAGTTACCAAACTTTTTATTCTCGCTTCTTCCCACCAGGTGAAGCTTCCAGTAAGGATGTCTAAGCTAAATGCTCCAAGCTTAGAAGGCATGGCTTAAGAAACCCACCTTTGTGCTTCTATACAAATAATTTAGGAACTCTTACTGCTGTATGGAAAAGGCAATGAATCTGATCTATGATGTGTTTGTAAGTAAACCATTTTTAACTTACCAAATGTGTGGTCTCTTTCTATGCTAAGGGAAGTGGAGAGCTTTGGAAATGACATAAAACAGGATATTTTAAAGGTCTAATAGCCTATATTTCCACACTTTACTTTGCTGCATGTTTTGTGATTTTGAATCACTGCTGGGGCTCTCTCACCAAAGAGTATGTGCCCCAAACCTGGATCCAGGCATCTTAGGGAATTCTTTTATTAACCAATTGCTAAAAAATCCAACAAGGGTTATGGGCCCAGGGAGGAATATATTTTGTTGATGTTCCAGGGATGTAATTTCAGATTTTTAAATGAATTTTTAAAGCCTGATTTTTAATAGCAGACCCCCCACACCAGTTTTCACAAGGCTTCCTGTGCAAAGCTTTTCATCTTTTGTTCTTCTAAATTCAGGGAATATTATCCCCCCTCCTCTTTCCATCGCATTCCAAAGTAGCTAGGCAGAAAAAGGGTGTGTGTGTTTTTCTGTTGGAGATTTTTGAGAACAATCTCTTATTTTGGCATTTTTCCTGCCATCATTTTAATTCTTTTTAGTGTTTTTCTTTCTTTTTGGATAGCCAAAACTCAATTGCTGCTCATAGCTCCAGACTGCTTAGACTTACTGAGAGTAGCTTTATCAAATGGAAGCCAATTTCTTTTCATTGTGTATTATCTGTTTTAATATCTCTTCCTTTTCTCTCTCTCTTAATCTTCTTTGGATTGAGTTCTGCTGTATTAAAAAGCCTCTTATTACAGCTTTTGATGCATGCCATACTACATTCAGGTCCACTCCTTTATTTAGATGTAATTCAAAATAGTCTGTTAATGTCTTTTGCACATTCCCCAATATTACTTTATTGTCCAGCAGTCCATCGTTCAGTCTCCATCTGAATGAGGTCTCTTCCTTTCCTTTTAACTCCATTGTTATCACATTATGATCTGAGAGAGTTCTCGGAAGAATTTCTGATTTTATTACTCTTGATGACAAATCTCTGGAAATCCAAATATAATCTATCTGTCCTGTGCTTTGATTTGGGTCTGAGAAGAAACTGAATTGTTTCTCTAGTGGGTGTTTTAGTCTCCATATATTAACATGGATAGTCTTTCAAACACCTAGCTGGTTCACTCTAACAATTGTGACACAGCTACTCAGATGATAGGAAAAGCCTTTTGATTTACAAGAAAATATTCTCATTGAGCTTGGACGAGGGAACTAGACAAGAAAGACAGTTACAGACATGTGACACAGTTGCAAGCTATTATTGAGAAGCTGAACAAATCAAGAGGCTGAACCAACTACTCTTATGAGGCAAAGTTACAACATAGGATTGGAAGGGAAGGTGAATAATGGGGTGCAGACATGCCAGAGGTGTATAAAAATTATGCATGGTGTGAAGGAATAGGAATTTCAGCCATTCTCTGTTTGGTTTTTGGTTGTAAAACCTGGGTTATAAAATGCTTGCCTCTATCTTGTCTTGTTCTATTACTGGCTCAGTAGTTTGGTGGAATCTATCCCTGACAGTTTGCCAAGTTGCTTCTACATACTTGTGCCAAGATTTGTCTGTTTGCAGGACAATTAACAGTGTGGGGATGGAGGGCAAGCATGGTTCTGATGCTCCTTTCCTCCCTTCAAGGCTGCTGTCAGAAAGTCATTTAAAGAGACAGAAATGTGTCTTTTTCATAATGTGTAGATTAGCTCTAATCTAAAATTTGTGTATTAGAACATCAAAGAAAGTATTACTTGCATTTACTGGAAATAGGCAAGACAAGAGTGCATAACTTCTCCTTAAGTCCAAAATATACAATGATGTATTACTGACAACTAGGATGAATAGAATTTACCTTTACTCCCTGGAAGCCCAATCCACCCAGAACTTCCTTTTTCACCTGATGATCCAGGAAATCCTGGATCTCCAGATAAACCTTGTTCGCCAACCTGCCCTGGGAATCCTGTAGAACAAGTAGAGAGCTATCACTAAGCAACCCTTGATTTGTTACAATATAATTCTAATGGTGGTGAAAGTGATACTGGATTTCTTACAAAAGTGGATTACAGTGGTACCTCTGGTTACAGACGCTTCAGGTTACAGACTTCGCTAACCCAGAAATAGTACCTCAGGTTAAAAACTTTGCTTCAGGATGAGAACAGAAATCGTGCTGCGGCAGCGGGAGGCCCCATTAGCTAAAGTGGTACCTCAGGTTAAGAACAGTTCCAGGTTAAGACCGGTCCTCCAGAACAAATTAAGTTCTTAACCCGAGGCACCACTGCATTCTAAAACTCCTAATGATCTGATGTGAAAAAATCTGATTTGGTCTGTAAATGACTAAAAATATATTATACAGTGGTGCCTCGCAAGACGGAATTAATCCATTTCACGAGTCTCTTTGTCTTGCGGTTTTTTCGTCTTGCGAAGCACGGCTATTAGCGGCTTAGCGGCTATTAGCGGCTTAGCGGCTATTCATGGCTTAGCGGCTTAGCGGCTTTAAGAAAAAGGAAACAAACTCGCAAGAACTCGCAAGACGTTTCGTCTTGCGAAGCAAGCCCATAGGGAAATTCGTCTTGCGGAACGACTCAAAAAACGGAAAACCCTTTCGTCTAGCGAGTTTTTCATCTTGCGAGGCATTCGTCTTGCAGGGCACCACTGTACAGATCATTTTAAGATGTCATAAAGAGAACACTTCATCAGTCAAATCTCCCTATGGTTAATTTAAATCCTGCAATTTCTTATATAATATTACATTAATCCAATACTGCTTTCTTACGTTGCAGTCCCACCAAATATGTCTATAATGTGTAAGATATTGTTTGTATCTCCAGCAATATACTGTGTATTAGAAAGCTGAAACATCTTGGAAGTCTATGTAGAAAATATCACCACAAATAAATATACTGGTAGTTGTCATTTCCCCCCTGCTGGAATGAGAACCCTTGAGTAATTAAAACCTGCAAGTGGTAAAGATATTGGTACAAACATCTTTTTCCTTTTAATGAATGCTCTTTATTCTGGGTTGCCTTAGCTCATATAGAACTTTTTTTTAAAATGGCAAACAGCTGATTGGAAATTATACGAAGTCTATGAAAAAGGAAGCAGTAACCATAGGTAAGGGAGATTTCTTCCACATATGGTGGAATTGTACAAACATTCTATAGACTTGTGTTTACAGAACCTGGGGGTTCCCTAGTTGGTGCCTCCCACCGTTCCGAGGCATCCAGCCAGCTGTTTGGGGTCTGGTAGTGGAGCCACTGGATCCAAAGTTGGTCCATTTTCTGAAAAGGTTTCCAATGTGGGCCCCTCTGCTGCCCCTGGTTAGAGCTGGTACAGTAAAACCCCACGACCATTATCTTCCGCCCTGACTAGCAGGAGCTGAAGGCCTGTGGCTGCAGCAATGGCTTGATTGCTCCAGTCATCACAAGGTCCGAGTTAGGATTGCTCTGCTTATAGTGAAAGCCAGTGCTTTTTGTTCTGGGGGGACGCAGGGGTACGCATACCCCTAAACATTCTGTGACTCTAAGTTTGGCCTCATTGAGAGGCAGTATTTCAATATGAGTAGGAAAAGGAGAGTACTCCTAAACATTTTTTTAGAAAGAAAAAAAAAAGCACTGGTGAAAGCAGAACAGGGGTTAAAAAATGCCCTCATAACCAAATTGACTTTGTTTCAATGGACTAGTTTAAACTTAAGAATATGCATCAAGTATCAGCATCTGTTTTAAAGTATATAATGAAAAAGCATTCAGTATCCAGTATTGCTTTTACTTTGCTGTATTTCTAATCAACACTTTGTTATTCATTTTTAGTGTATTTTTTTAAAAAGTGTTTTATATAAGCACATTATATACAAAAGAGGAAATCCCACCTCTTTGCCCTTGCAACCCAGGGGAGCCTGGGGAGCCCCTCATGCCCTGAATGCCAGGAAAACCTGGAACACCAGCATCACCTTTTCCTCCTTTGGCTCCTTCTACCCCTGCAAAAAACAAAGAGAAATATTTATTGTTCCTCTCCCCCTTATCTGCCTGTATCGCTAAACCATATCCTTTTAAAACAGATTTTTAAATTTATCCTTTTATCTTTTTAAAACAATTTTTGAATTAGATGATTTTTGAATTTATCAGAAACAATTCAAATGATGTTATATTTCTGTTCCCTCCTAACTGCCCTATCAACTGTGCTAAAAAGTTTAATTTGAAAATAGTGAAGCAGAAAAGGTCAGTAATTTACCATTAACTAGCACTCTGCACAGATTTTTTATCCATTCCCTAAAACCAATATCTTGTATTGAATTATTTTTTAATAAGACACACTGTGGTAGTTAATTTTCCCTTCTTTACAAGTTTCCTGTTAATGTTGTTATCTTGGTGAAATTGTTGCCATGTTGGAACCTGTTTTATATTTGAGCTTTCCCCCAGTCAATAGGAATGTTTTTACCAATGGATATTTATCAATATACTGTAGCCAATATCTTGAGTTTTTTTAATGATATCCCAGATCATGTTGTTCTTGTACTTTAAAAAGCTCTGAAAACTAGGAAATAAATTCCAAAATAGTTTGCCACCTCCTTGCACCGTATACAACAAAAAACTAAATACTTAAATAGAAGTCTTCAGATATTATTTTTTTACATTTTTTATGCTTAAACTTTACCATAATGCTGTGTTTATATGTTATTAGCACTGGATTTCGAGCAGGTATCAGCGGTTAGCCCCCCACCGCCCATGTGCTGAGCCAAGGAGGTGTAAAATAATGATAATAAGTAGAATAAAACCTCTATTTACCTACTGAGAGGATCCATAAAAAAGCAACTGTACCAAAAGGAATTATTGTGAAAAATAAGGGTGCCATATTAGCAGAGTCCGCCCCTGTATGTATGTCACTATTTTGCTATTTCAGAGGTTCAAAGCATCAACCAAGAGTGAGACCTAAAGTCACTGGGTAGACTTAGGCCATTAACATCAGTATTTTGTATTTCAGTAGGGCATGCACCCCACAGCACCAGCACTACCAGTGAAAAAGCCAACCTTTGTCTTACTACAAGTTGATAATCGTCAGGCTGTGAGAAGAGAAGACTAACTGGGTTCCTTTTGTTGAGCTTGATGGTCTTTCATATAACCTGGTCCATAGTTGTTTAGAGCTTTGTAGGTAAGCAACAAGACCATAAAACTAGCTCAATGGTGTGATATGTAGCTGGGAAGGAGCACATCTTAGCCACCACCTGGGCCAAGGTATTTTGTACCAGCTGCATCCCTCTGGACCAACCACACCCCAGATCTCTCATAGAACGTGTTACATGATGTTACCAGTGCATGAGTCTCAGTGACCAAGCAATCCTTGTCCAAGACTGGATGAAGTTCTCACAACAGTCAAAGCCGGTAACAGGCACTGTTTGCCACAAACTATTTTGCATTATGAATGAATGCATGTGTATACACACATGCAAAATACCTTTGGCTCCAGTTATGCCAGCATCTCCTTTCGAACCTGCTCTTCCTGGCAAGTTTATAGTATCTCCCCAATCACCTGTGTGAGGCAAAAAATTGAGATAATACACACTCACATAGATTTATATACACCAAGATCATCTGTTGAACATCTTTTAATGTGAAAATTCTAAACTCTATAATGCAACTCTCGATTTACGTGCTTTCAATATGTGCACAACCGCACAATCACCCACCCACCCATCACGCTGAACCCAGAAGTGACCCAAAAAGTCACAAAAACATCACAAAAGGGTCGGAACAGGGTGTTTGCAGGCCTTTTTAATGGGGTTTCAAATATACGCAATTTCACTGACGTGCACGGTGCCTCAAAACATTACCCCCACTTAAATGGGGGGGGAGGGTGGTTGCCTGTATTATTTTCTCTACAATATATACTTCCATTTTGACTTCATCTATAAGAATGAAAAGATATGAGAAGTCAAGATCAGTAACTCTCAAGAATGAGAGAAATATTTCCTTGTACTGGACTAGGTCACGAGCAGGAGCCTTTCATTTTATACACAAATCTGTCTGTCTGTCTGTCTGTCTGTCTGTCTGTCTGTCTCTCTCTCTCTCTCTCTCTCTCTCTCTGTGTGTGTGTGTGTGTGTGTGTGTGTGTTTTACATACACATAGCTTAGATGTACAGAATATAAATGGACTCACCAATTTCCCCAGGCTGGCCACTTTCGCCAAAAATACCATCAATCCCTGGAATTCCCTTTTCCCCCTGTCACATAGTTAAAAAGAACATCAAGCTTTCAAGCATAATAAATATTAACCAACGTTTTCGTTCTCTCTGGACTTCCTCCTCAACTATCCAAATTTGTTTTTCTGTCATAAATCTTGAAACTGTACTCTTGTTGAACACAGTGTGCACCTGAAACCAACTTTATTTAAACTAAAAAATAACTCAGGGGTGGGGGACTATATCTACTTGGTGGGCTGGATACTAACCTCCCCCAACTCCAGTGGGCCATTTTGACTGGGTGTGGGGTTGCCCACCTGTCAATCATGACACCACAATGACACTGGGTGATATGCTTTCCTTTGCCAGGGCAGTCTGAAATCAAAGCACAGGGGGTGCTGATTGGCAGTATCTGCAAACCCTCCTTTCAGCAGGGAACCATGGAAAGAATTTAATTTCATGCCAAGGCAATTATTTTGTCAAGGAAAGCCTTGTGGTTTGCCAGATGGAACTATCTCTACTCTTATGCCCCTGAGTTCTCTTGACCCCATTCTGAGCCAATTTCAGAGAGGAGGGAAACCTCACTGCGCAAAAAGAGCTCCTCAAGCAGGATGCCTGCTGACAGAACTCATTACCTGAATCCTGCTGAGTGTCATATATGTCAAGTGTCAGGCAGGTGAGCATGGCTTTTGGAAAAAGTCCTCATGGACATAATTAGGCCTGCAGGCTGGAGCCCCCATTCCACCCAAAATAAAGGAATCAAATACATAATTCACATGCACTGCATAATCTAGTCTGCTTTTGGTGAATTTACACAATTTGTTTTTTGAGGTTCTGGGCATTTTGATTTTCAAACTACTAAAGGAAACATACCAGAGATAACAAAACTTGGTAGTTTGAGTCAAACAACAAAATCTGCTCACCCTCCTTCCCGTTGCTCCAGGGAAACCAGAAATACCACGACCTCCTGAGACACCTATATATCCTGATATGCCTTTTATTCCTTTAATTCCATAGTCACCTTTCTGACCTTTTTCATAACCTGGAAAGCCAGGTGAACCTGGCCTTCCTGTCTGCCCAGGGTAGCCTAGTGCTCCTTTTGTGCCTGTAGGAAACACAGTTCAAAATGTTAAGTTAGACTGAACCGGGCAAGTAGCTGAACTTCAGTAAAGCAAATGTTGGTTTCAGCTGCCTGAAGTATTCATTATGGGGAATGAAGCCCTCAGCTGCATTCTGCTAATTAACTACCACTAAAAATTGCACTGGGATGCGGGTGGTGCTGTGGGTTCAACCACAGAGCATAGGGCTTGCCGATCAGAAGGTTGGCGGTTCGAATCCCAGTGATGGGGTGAGCTCCCGTTGCTTGATCCCTGCTCCTGCCAACCTAGCAGTTTGGAAGCACAAAGTGCAAGTAGATAAATAGGTACCGCTCCGGCAGGAAGGTAAACGGCATTTCTGTGCGCTGCTCTGGTTCGCCAGAAGTGGCTTAGTCACGCTGGCCACATGACCCAGAAGCTGTACGCCGGCTCCCTCGGCCAATAAAGCGAGATGAGCACCGCAACCCCAGGAGTCGTCCCTTTACCTTTACCTTTAAAAATTGCACTGTTGGGGTATATATATTTCTATATCATTTTGTGGTCATTTTCTATTATTTATAATCTGAATAAGTGCTTTAGAATGTGTGCGTTATGTAATACAGAATGAAATGTTTGTAAATAAAGATTAAATTCTCATTTGCTTCTTGTGACAAATGTTCAAATGCTGTAAGATCAGTTTGTAATATATTATACTCCTTTTCTGGATATGGCATTGCTCCTTACCTTTGAAACCAAAGCTCCCTTGGGCACCACTTTCTCCTTCATTTCCCTTTTCGCCTTTCACATCAAGCATCATACTTGGCATGATTTTAGGAGGTGATCCTGGTGGGCCACGGTCACCACGGTCACCTATTAAGAATACATCATTCATCCAGACTGCCATGTTAATATAGAAAACTGTTTGCAGGGGTGGCCAAACTTTTTCAAAGAGGGCCAGATTTGATGAAGTGAACATGCGTGAGGGCCGACCAAAGTTGTTGATTTTTTATATATATGTATTTTTGGGATTTGACCCCAATGAATAAAATGCCACAGGGGGCCGAATTAGGCCCCCCAAACAGACTTTGGACATGCCTGGTTTACAGCATTGATCCATCCTTACAATTTAAAGGCAACGCATTTAAGAGGATCGGAAAGGTAAGAATGCTTTGTCTCCTTAAGTGTATCCTTCTTTTATGAAGTGATGGTGATCAGCCCTTCTAATGTGCTATAGTGGCGAGATTGTTGTACTGGAATCAAGGAGACCTCGGTTCAAATTCCTACTCAACCATGAAACTCTCTGGGGAATCTTGGTCTCTTTCAGCCTTACCTGAAAGCCTAACCTCACAGAGTTGTTGTGTGGATAAAATGTGAGCAGGAAATAATACTAATACTTCATTATTTACATCTTCCCACCAATGTACTAAAGGTGTCTTACAACAGAATATACAGAATAAAATACAGTAACAAAAACAAAACCATACATTAAAATACAGTGAGCAGAAGAACACTGCCTTGAACTCCTTGCAGGGGGGTGAATTTTTTTTTTAAAAAACCTAAATAAATGATTTAAATAAAAGTTCTCAAAAAAGTATATGAGAATGTAGCAATGAGGAGTGCAGCCCAGCAGCTACTCCCTTTCCAATCATAGTCCTGAGATTTTGTTATGAGAGAGCAGCCAGGGGTCTTTCTGCTAACTAATGAAGGTGAAAGCAAGCTTGATGAACACCAAGCTTTACTTACCAGCAAAAGCCAGCAATAGACTGAAAACACAGTAAGCTGTAAGATTAAAGCTGCCAAGAGAATTTTTTTTAATAAAAATTATATTTCACAACCTATTTTTTTCAAACTGCTTTGCAGTTGTGTATGAACACGTCTCACACACACTGAGAGACAAGCAATACTTCACAATGTGAAGGACAATACCTTTCAATCCCGAGTCACCAGGTAAACCTCGAACCCCTGGCAAGCCAGTGAAGCCAGCCTCTCCTTTGATTCCGTTCTGCCCTGGCCACCCTCTGACGCCTATCGCACCTTTGAAACCTCCAATTCCAGAGGAACCTTTAGCACCTGTTGGTGGAAAGCATAAAAGAGAACTGTTCATGTTCACAGAAATGGGGATTAATTTCTTTTTCCTACTTTGTTCTAGGGTTCTAAATTTAAACTTTTTTATTTTAAAATACAAATACAAAAGTAAGCAATAAGATAAGGCACCTGCCCTGCATGCTGAGGGCCCCATGTGTTACAGGAAGGACTCCTGCCAGAAAACGCAGGGCAGCCACTGCCAGTCAGGACAGATAATATAGCGGGAGACTGTACGCTGAGTCAGATACCAATGGCCTGACTCAGTATAAGGGATTCCCAATTTTTATATTATGGTCATTAAAACCTAAGCAAAAGAAGAACCAAACCAGTATCAACACTATTTATTTATTTATTTATTTATTTATTTATTTATTCATTCATTCATTCATTCATTCATTCATTCTATTTGCATACTGCCCTTCATCTGTACATCTCGGGGCAGTTCTCAACATAAAAATACAATATAAAAAACATATATTAATCATGATTAAATCATATTATGTAAGATTAATGCATAATCAATACATGATAAAGTAAGAGGGAAAACAAACAAATAATGCCCCCTCCTACAACACATTTTAAAGTGTATTGGATCTTTATCATCCAAAGGGATGGCAGAAGAGGAACGTTCTCTCCTGGCACCTAAAGTTGTACATCAAATCGAAATCGAGTCAAGTGGGTGTTAGAATTCCTGCTCCATGATTGTAGTCATGGGATAGTGCCACTGTATTCTGCTCTGGTCAGACCTCACCTGGAGTACTGTGTCCAGTTCTGGGCACCACAGTTCAAGAAGGACACTGACAAACTGGAACGTGTCCAGAGGAGGGCAACCAAAATGGTCAAAGGCCTGGAAACGATGCCTTATGAGGAACGGATAAGGGAGCTGGGCATGTTTAGCCTGGAGAAGAGGAGGTTAAGGGGTGATATGATAGCCATGTTCAAATATATAAAAGGATGTCACATAGAGGAGGGAGAAAGGTTGTTTTCTGCTGCTCCAGAGAAGCGGACACGGAGCAATGGATCCAAACTACAAGAAAGAAGATTCCACCTAAACATTAGGAAGAACTTCCTGACAGTAAGAGCTGTTTGACAGTGGAATTTGCTGCCAAGGAGTGTGGTGGAGTCTCCTTCTTTGGTGGTCTTTAAGCAGAGGCTTGACAACCATATGTCAGGAGTGCTCTGATGGTGTTTCCTGCTTGGCAGGGGGTTGGACTCGATGGCCCTTGTGGTCTCTTCCAACTCTATGATTCTATGACATTTTATTATATAAGTCTATAACCTTAGGCATTGCTCAGAGCATCGACTTCCTTCCCTCCCTCTTTCTGACTTCCAACATCTTTTAATAAATTCTTAGCATTTCTATAACCACTTTTTACTTTCTACCTTCTTTTAACATTTCACCTCATTATATGTAAAATAGCTTCTTATTTTTACATTACAAAACATTTCAACTCAAACCTACAAACGTTTTCAAATGTTTACAATTTTCTTTAATGTAAAATATAAATTTGCTCCAGTCCTTTTTAAACAGTTTGTCGCGCCAATTTCGGATCTTCCCCGACAGCTTTGCCAACTCTACGTACTCCACCATCTTTGTCTGCCATTCTTCCAGCATAGGAAGTTCCTGCTGCTTCCATTTCTGGGCCAGAAGTACCCTTGCAGCCGTTGTGGCATACAGAAACAAATTTACATCTTCTTTTTTATTTCCTCTCCAATTAAACCTAACAAAAATGCCTCTGGTTTTTTGTTGAAATTATATTTAAAAACCTTCTTTAATTCATTGTATATTATATCCCAGAAGGCTTTGACCTTAGTACAAGACCACTACATATGAAGGAAATTCTAAAGGGGAATTTTGGGTGCTTGTATTAGCAGTGCAAAATTATAAGCTCTCCTGTCCTTCCTGAAGCTCCAAAAGGAACAGGGGAGGGGTGGGATCGAGCTGAAAGCACGACTATCTACAGCAAACTCTCGACGAGAAGCCTCCAGCCTTTGATGTGGTAACTTTTTCAATTAATGCAAAGCAAGAGAACTTTAAAATTGATTGAATAAGATAATTAGGATGATTTGGCATAGTAACGGGGTGAAAGAAAGGAAGTCCGCCCTGGTCATGGCTTGCTCTACTCTGCTCGCGGACAGTTTAAAAGCATGAGAAAAGATTAATCTTTAAATATTTGGAAACACTTTCCTGCTAAAAAAACCAGGCAAACTCTATAAGCAGTGAACTAAAGAAAATTGGATTTTGAAACTCCCCCCCCCCATTCCAATAGGAAGGGGGGGACATATATGGTTACTTTCGTTCCTAGAACTCGTCTTTCTGGTGGAAAAAGCAATTAAAACAAGATATTTCTTTATTTTTTTTTTTATTTGGGAGAAATACAGTGGTACCTCGGTTTAAGAACACCTCTGTTTAATAACGATTCGGTTTACGAACTCCACAAAACCGGAAGTAGTGTCCCAGTTTACGAACTTTACCTTGGTCTAAGAATGGAATCCAAATGGTGGAAGGGCACCAGCGGCAGGAGGCCTCATTAGGGAAAGTGCGCCTCGGTTTAAGAACGGACTTCTGGAACGGATTACCATATTTTTTGCACCATAACACTCACTTTTTTCCTCCTAAAAAGTAAGGGGAAATGTCTGTGCGTGTTATGGAAGGAATGCCTATGGGTGGCATGCCTACGGATTTTCCTCCTCTAAAAACTACGTGCGTGTTATGGTCGGGTGCGTGTTATAGAGCGAAAAATACGGTAAGTTTGTAAACCAAGATAGCTGGTGGTGTTGGGATTTTGCCTGCGTGCAGTTTCCCACAGAAGCTATTAAGGAGTTGGCCAAAGGCCAAGAAGACTGAGCAGAGGGAGTTATTCTGCCTAGAGATATGGGACCTTGGCTACAACTCTGCTACTGGTCGAGGTCACCCATATAGGCATGATGACTCATGACTTTCCTGTTTGTAGGTTGGTTGGTTGGTCAGTGGTTGTTTGAGAGTCAGTTGGAGTTTGTTCAGAGAGAGTTAAGATCCATGTCTGTATCCTGTATATAGTAACTTGTGAGTCTGCTGTAAATAATAAACCAAAGTAACCAAGTAGCAGCATCTTGTTCTTGCTTCATTCTGCCAGCTTGCAACCGACTGCTTCTGGACAGTCTGCGTATGCTCAGCAATATTCAACAGGCGGATTTGACTTCTTTTGGTGGGTGAAATAATTGAAACAAATCAAACCTGCGTGCCTGGACCGACACTTTCTATTTTATTGGTTTTTTTTCTTTTTTGAAGACACTTTTTTACTATCATCACTAATTTTGTAACTGAAGGGGGTTTTTTTTAGACTGTTGAATAACAATTTGGATTAGACTTTAGAAGAAGTCAAAGAGGACTGGGCTTTCTTTGTTCCTATCTTCTCCCCCCATTTTCTAAGGGAGGGAGAAGAAAAATAGACGGAAGACTTCTATCTTTCCTAACTTCTTTGTTCTTTCTTTTTTTCATTTTTGCCTAAAACTATGCCTCCGGGTTGCCTTGCAATGTTGGATTGGCTTTATGAAAAAAGCTGAAGAATACCATGATTTTGTATTTACTTTCTCTCTCTTTCCCCCCTTTTTGTCAGTTCTCCCAGAGTTTTTTGTGGATTACAAAAACACAATGGTACAAGGAGTTGTAGAGAAGCAGAGAGATTTGTTTTGAAAAGATGCCCTTGCTTTGAGAACTCACCTCATCAGCAGGCAAGAACAAGTAGCCCAAACAAGTTAAAATAGAAAGGAAAGGGAAAATATAGAGGAGTTGGAGAAGGGGTGGGGAGGAAGATAGGAAGGGGCGGGGAAGAGAGAGAAGAGAGGACATCTAGTGGCAAAAAGAGGCAGCTGTAGGAGGGGGAAATTATTTTTATTTTTATCATTTTCTTTTTTCCTTCTCCTTCTCATCTTTTAAGAGAGAGAAGAAGTAATATTTAAGACTGGGAACTATAGAAGATTGGAGATAAATTTTAAGTGGGATTGGTGAATAAATGTTACAGTCTTTGAAATATGGCATCAAAAATCACAGTTGGTGGCTGGAACTATAACTACCACACAGACAAGAAGGGGGTCCACCCTAGAGATGGAACCTAAGGTAGATATAGCAGATACATTAATGGATCTGAAAAAAGACTTAAGAGAGAATACAGATAAATTGGAGAAAATGACTGGGAAAACAGAACAGAACACCAAAACTTTGGAGGGTTTAACAGTACAGATTAAAGAATTTACAACTAAAACATCAGATTTGGAAAAACCCTGCCTGGTGATTTTTAATTCATGAATGGTAGGTGAACTACCATAAAAAGGCTTACAATTGATCATAAGAAATCCCGATGAGATTGCTTTCAAAAATGGAATAAATCTTGAAAGACTATTTTGAAATAAATTTGAACACCACAGTGGAGAGGAGAATAATCTGGGACGCAAGTAAAGCAGTCATGAGGGGGTTCCTGATACAACAGAATACGATAAAGAAAAGACTTTGGAATGGGAAAAAAGATAAGATTCTAGAGAAGATAAGAGATGGAGAGAAGAAATTGAGATCTAAACCAAAATCGAAGGAGATTTTGAGAGAAATCAAATTTCACCAAGCACAATATGCGAAATTGATAAATCAAGAAGTCGAGTGGAAAATTAAACAAATGAAACAAAGATCATTTGAATCAGCAAATAAGTGTGGGAAACTGCTAGCATGGCAGTTGAAAAAGAGACAAAAATTGAACACTGTTACTAACTTAGAGATTGATGGGAGAGACATTCAGAAACCTGAAGAAATTAGAAAGTGTTTCCAGAGATATTTTAAAAAGCTTTATACACAAGGGCCGCAAGAAGAGACTGAGATAGACCAATTTTTGAAAAATAATGGATTATCAAAACTTGACCAGGAAAAGAGAGCAATCCTGAATCACAAAATAACACAACAAGAAATTGAGGGTGCTATTCAGAACATGCAACTAGGCAAATCTCCAGGTCCAGAT